GTGTACGCGCAGCAAGCACTAACATAGAGCGAACCGTGCGAGGGTCTCGAATTTGTCATTCTGTTTCGAATAGAAAACGCAGTTTTGCCGTTCTTGTGTGGCGGTAGTCGAAAGACGCACTTACGCCAATCTGGACGCCCGCCGTCGTCACCCCAACTGGCACTTCATCCCCAACGAGGACTGGCAGAACTGGCGACTGCATCCGTGTGTAACTAGCCGGTGAAATGCACTCGAGAATGCATTTGTAAATGAAATTTGAACTTTAATTCTCTGGGCAAGAATGTTTTTTAACGTCTGACTCTCTCTTTATCCCCCATCTATATACCGTCCAACGCCAGCCCTTGCGCAAGAGGCAGAGAAGCAGAAGGATGAGCTCAAAAAACAGCGGGCCAACTACGTCAAGAAGGTAACGCTGCTCAAAAAGGAAATGAAAGTGCTGAGGGAACAGCGCGAGGATTTGACAGCGGGCGAGGCACCGCCCTCGCCAACCACCAAGACTTTCATCTCGGAAAATGATCGCCTGCAGGTGAGCTTAATTTGCGACCCTTTTCAAGTTCAAACACCAATGTAAGTTAATTATTTCTGGAGCAGATTCAAATTAAGAAGAAACTGGACACAATCGAAAACGTTATAGACATGCTAAACAGCCTAATTGGGTCAGATCACGAGGACGAGCCTCTCAAGTCGAAGGCTCATGGAAAGCCACAGTCAGAGCAACAGGGCAGCCGATCCCACTCCTCCAGTGAAAGCTCCGCTGACAGCTCGGACTCCAGCGCCTCGTCCAGTAGCTCTACGGATTCGTCGTCCGATGGCGAAGACGAGGAGGAGACCGGCGGCGCCGAGGGCAGTCCCACCAATCGGCTCAAGCACCGCGCCATCAAGTCAATGAAGTCTAAGCAAAAATGCGGTGAAACGAAGCCAATGCCAACTCCAGCACAAAACAACAACTTTGTGTTTTTCGATCCCGAACTGCATTGGTGCGAGAGCTGTGGCGTTTTTCCAAAGACCGCTCGCGACTACTTAAAGCACTTGCATGCCGAGGAACACATGAATCGCGAGACCATAGAAACGCCCTGGCATGTCGGCATCGACCACGATCCCTTTCCCACGTTTGAAAACGCGCCTGTGAAGCGCGTCCCTGTGCGTGGCATGCAGTTCCTGGTGCCGGCCAACGCCTGGTTCTGCAAGCTCTGCAGTGTTTGGATCGGAGACTTGCACTGCGCCTCCGCTCATCTCAAGTCCCGACTACACTCGAACAAGTATGAGGTGAGTTGTTAAATAAATGCTTAAGCCAACTCCCAAATCGCGTATTTAAATAATACAAATTATGAAATGTTTGTATAAGCCTTTTTTTTTTACCCTTACATAGGGTATTATTAATTCAGTAAAGGAGACATTTCCGACTCCATAAAGTAATATATGGTCATGATCAAACTATTTTCCCAGTTTTTAAGCTGTATGCATGAAACTTTCTCAAAAATAGTATTTCTAATGCAGGTAGTAAGTCGGATCAAGCTTTCTTTTTTTTTAATGTACTTCGGGACATAATAACTTCACTGTATTTAAGCATAAATCAATTTTTTTTTTAAATATTAAATTTGTGCATTAGCTGCAAGGGTACATATACTTCGACTTGCCGAAGTTGTACTCCTTTATTGTTTTAAAAGACCCACCTAGTCCGCAGGTTGTCCTATAAATAATAAGGTTGTCATATTAATAACGAGAAGAAATTAGTGTTTTGGCTGATCATGCCTTTCTTTTAACTTTTATGCAGCCTTCTCTCAAATTAAAAGCGTATCTCTGGCCGATTTTTTTTATTTCAAACATTTTAAAAGATAGTTTCTTCGTTTTAATAGCTGTAGAAACAACAAATTATACAAGTCTGAGTTTACCAAATATTTTGAGTAGTAAATGATATATAGTTGTATTTAAAATACAGTAAATAGTTAAATCGTTATTTGAAAAGCGCAGGATAGTATCAATCCAATAAATAAAATGTTTGAAGTAATAACTACAGAACTTACTGACAAAGAAATCAATGTAACATTTTAAATACCTTTGACTACTGATTTTAATTAAGAGAATATCTTATATATTTTTGCTATAAATTGTTATAACCAGAAAGGACTTTTGCAGTTATTACGTACATAAAATATTCTATAAAACGACTATGTTTCGATTTGTATGCGCATAACAATGAAGTTACATATGTAAATTGTTCAATGAATTTTTTGATCGTTCTATAAAAATATAAATACTTTATGGGGTCGAAAATGTTTCATTCATATATATATGAATGCAAGTGTAAAAAAAGTTTAAAAAAAATACAACTCGCCTTAATTTTAAGGTTAGGCTAACAACAAACATAAATACATAAATAAAATGAAATATGTCATATTTTAAAATACAATGTCGTTACAGCAATTTATAGCCCAGAATCCCAACTATGAAACCGAGTGGCAAGCAAACCGTGAGCGGGCCATGAATCAGCAGAAGGAGCTCGATGACTCTAAGAACAAAAAGTCCAAGAAAGACGACGACAAGGCATCCAAAAAGCGCAAGAAAAAGAGGTAATGATCATTATAAATTGTGAACCAACGAGAAAGTGTTTGATTTTGTTTTCTTTGTTTTCTTTTTCTCGCGCAGCGGTGACAAAAAGAAAAAGAAGCGTAAGCATGGAAAGAAGAGCAAGCGAAATGCCCTCGATGCCAACAGCTCATCTTCATCCTCTGACAGCTCTTCGTCGGAAGACGAAAAGCCGCAGCAACCAAAGAAAGGTCGTACCGAGGAGCCAGCAAGCGGTCAAGCAGAAAAATCAATTAATGCCGCCTCGATACGCGTGACCATGCGAAAGCATGAGACCTCCCTAGCCGCATCTTCGAAGCCGGAAGTGCCTTTTCAGTCGCCTGCACCGCCGCCTCCTCCGGTCATAAAAGATGCCATGAATGCTTCAGGCCGAGGCAAATGGACTTCTGCCTCCGGCGAGGATCAGAAAGAGGAGCAAAAGAAACGGGACGATGTCATGCTGAAGCAGTGGAACACTGTCCAGCCGGTCATCAGCGAGAGTGAGAAGAAACTGCTGGAGCAGCTCAAGGGCAGGCTGAAGAATAAGGGACCTCGTGAATCGGAGGACCGTAAAGCAACACCGCATGCAGCGTTCGCAGCTGATGAAAAGTCCAAGCGGAGCGGAGGGCGTCGTTCCCGTTCACGATCCCGTTCTTTATCCCGTTCCAAGCGACGCAGCCGCTCACGAAGCATAAGTCGCGGGCGGGATCGAGATCGAGATCGGCGCGATCGCGATCGTGAGCGGGATAGAGACCGTGGCCGCCGTGGTCGTCGGTCTCGCAGCCGCGGCAGGCACTACTCTCGTTCGCCCTTGCGTTCCAGCCGGAGAAGTCGTTCCCGGGAGGGGCGAAGCCGTCGTAGCCGCAGTCGCTCCGACGAACGGGTGGAGCGTCCAGTGATCAAGCATTCCGAGTTCCGGCCTCGAACGGTGCCCGAACGCAAGCAGCCGGATAGTAAGCGCGAGAAGAAGGATCCAGACAGCAAGACGAAGTCAAAGACCAGCACCACCTCGCTGCCTGGTGGCAAGAAGCTGCCCTTCATCGGCAAGATGCCAGTGTTCAAGAAGCAGCCGGTGGCCGCTGCCAGCTACGACGCTGCCGCTGCCGTCTACACCAACGGCTGTTTGGAGGCACCACCACCGCCGCCGCCCCCGCCTTTGGGCGGAACCACCACCACCACTGGACAGGTGGCTGCGCGTCAACTGGCACCGACAGCGGCTCAAATTCAGATGGCCATGATGGAAGATGCCTTCGGCAATGCTCCTCCATTTCATCCAGATGCGGGTATGATGGTAGACTACGACGAGCTGATGCCAGATCCCGTCCAGTTCGCCAGCTTGATGACCAGCTGCCCGCCTCCACCGCCGCCGGGTGAAGGCTCCGATGGGGAAACCCATGATTCACAAGACGGCGAACAGCGTGAAAACGAAAACCATGAAAAGGACGTCTTGCCGCCTGGCATTGACGAGGCGGAATCTGATCTGGTAGCGCAGCCGTTGGACGTGGCGGCTCCACCACGCGACGGGGAACTGCCAAAGGACCTGGCCGAGGCTCTCAACATAATATTCCCCAGCGAGGGAGCGGCACCGGAGGCCACGACCGAGAAGCAAAGTGAGCCGCAAACCATCACCACCATCGTCGAGGATGATGCAGTGCTCAGCGAGCATAGTCTTCATGACCTGGCCAAGCAGGGTATTCACCTCGTGACCATTGACGAGGCAGAAGCGTCCAAGAATGCAGCCATGCTGAAATCGAAGGATGACAAAGAGTCGCAGATTCTGAATGGCAAATCCGAAGCTGCCGGGAACTTGAAACAGATCGAAGCGGAGGACATCCCCATGCCCAGCTCCCCTCCTGCCTCTCCGCCCGTCGCCGACGTCGTCGTCGATGAGGCGAAGAGCAAGGTGGTCCAGAAGCAGGCGGACATCTCGGACATACCACAGCCGCCGGCATCGCCTTCGGACAGCGAGAAGCTTCGGCGGCAGGCGGAGCTCGACGAGTTGGCCATGCTGGGCATCGACAGCAGTGACATGGCAGCACAATGTATGTAGAACGGCTCTCGAGCCACTCACCTTGACCACTCACCTTGCACTGTTCGCTCATTCCATCAACCATAACTTCTGTTTTGGCTTTAAATCGATTTTAAATGACTGTTTTGTGTATATATCCCAAACCCACAGATGCGCTGTAAGGCTGAAAGGGCAAACAGTGACGCCACTTACTCGGATGCACGGATCGAATGACACGTCGGGTTGACCACCCATAAGAAGTGGAACAGTTTTAAAATATATAGTTTGTGACGGAATGTTTTAAATAAATGCGCATATATGTATGTAATATATGTATGAAGGATACCAGAAACCGAGGAACGGCTTCATTTGGCTTGAAATCCATTAGTTAAGCATTTTAGAAACACAAATATGGGGCAGTGTGGAGTGGTTTTTATCTATACAAATATATTATGTATTTTCTGTTTAATCAAATGGCACTTAACAAATATGGTTAACAACTACACAATTTAATTCAACTCCTTATCCACTTGTCTAAGTGGATCAACACAATTAAAGTTTAATTTATTCTACATGCTAGCTTTTGATTTTTGTTCTTTGCAATAGGTACACGATTTCTCAGTTAGTTTAATAATTCTTAGAGGTCGTCCATAAACTACGTAATCACTCCGGTGTAGCTACACATAACTACATTTGAAAACTATATTTTTGAACACCTCAACCATCCAAGAATTTTAGTAACATATCTATTTTTTACAACTAGTGGTTTAGGTGAAATAATTAGTTTAGACAATAGCATTAGATCTGATAAATTAGAGCTTTTGCACAGGTTATGGAGTTATAAATAATTTTGAAACGAAAGGTGCAGTGCCGTCGATCCCGCTGCTATAACTGAGTGACACGCATTGTCTGTCGCTGGCCTTTTGCTTTCGAGCCGCAGGCTGATGGCTAAAACTATAAGTCTGTTATCGGTCCGTCCGCCACGCTGAATTTCGTTGCCACTGCTGCGTCCGGTGCTGTGCCAGGTGCGATTGGGTTCCAATTTGGCTGGCTGGCCACCTGGGCACTTAGGTCTTTAACCAATTTTTCAAGGCTATAGTTATGTCACAGTACATTGCCACGCGAGCCCGTCGAAAGAGAAGAACAGAAATTCAAAATATGTAAGTTTCTGAGATTAGTTACCGCGTTTGAAGTTGTTTTTTGTGTGTGTGTGTGTGTGTATGTTTTGTGAGAGGAGTAGTGTAGTTAGTGCTTTTGAAAACGTTCATGCATGAGAATTAAAACGGTGCTGGGTTAGTTTGGAATTAGTTTTAGAACAGAGCATAGACTACACCCACGCAATTATACGTTGATTTGCCTCCTTACGTGCGGCGGACACTTCGCTGAGCTCCCGCTTCAGCTGGGCGTGCTCCTTCTTGCGCGGCAGCAGTGGCGGTGGCAGCCCCGGGTTCACCTGATCCGAAATGAGAGCGAAAGTAGGAGCGCTCCGCACTGATTGCTGTGACGAATTGGCCGACAATTGAAGCGTTGTCGTTGAGGCATTCTGCAGGCCATTGTTACGCGACTCGTTGCTCGAGCAGGACAATCGTTTGTTGGCCGTCTCCGACTGGTCCTCACCATCCATCGCCGCCTGCTCCAGCAACTGTTCCTCCACGATTTCGTCGTCCTCTTCCAGCGAGTGTGTGGCTTGTGTTGGCGTCTGGTGCATCGTTCCGTAGTGCAGGTTGAAGGACTGCGCCCGTCGGACACCAAGCGATCCGCCGCCACCTCCGTTCGGGAAGGGCTTTCGGGATCCGCGGGCGCGATCATTTTCGTAGATGATATCATGGTAAGACTGCCGCTGGCTATAGCAACCTGCTAGCGCTTGGCGCAGGCACTTGTTCTCAGCCTCCAGATGCGACAGGCGTTTGTTTGTCTCCTTTCTCTCCAGACGCAACTGCATTACGTGGGCCTGTTGGATAAAGGGGAGCATTGTTAAACCTCGAAGTTTAAGTGTAAAATCCGCACCCACCTTCAGATCATCTATATCCCGCAGGATTCGGACGTTACCCTCGTTCAAGGACCACTGTCGCTCCTCGACCATTGACTTGACCCTGGAAACAGAACATAGTTAGAAAGATTCGAGCACATGTAGCCATATTTTCACTTCTCACCGACTGAGCAGGGCATCTTCGCGGACGCGCGCCGCCTCCTTTACCTCCCGCACCACGTCGGTCATCATGCCTGGTGTGTAGGCGCCTGGAAGCAGAGAATCGTTGATGAGCAATTGCCGAATGCCATGGGTGACCAAATTAGGGGTGCCGCCTGGATTAATACCTGAATGAAAGGTGGGCGCCGGGCTGTGGGTGCCGCCGCCCATTCCGCCGCCAAACACCAGGGGCTGACTTTGTGTGCTCAATCCACTCAAGCTATCTCTACGGTGCCGCATGCCCCCCGAGCCGACCGCCGACCAGGGCTGGCCATTTGGGGCGTGCTTTAAAGCTTCGATATCGACTGTGATTGTGTTTACGAGTGCAACAGAGTACATAGAAAGAGGCAACGGATAGCAACAGATACTAAAAATTAATAGGTAGTAGGTAGCAAGTAGGTTCAAACATACGAGAAATTTGTGTAACTAAAGCCATTTAGCAAATCGAGAATACAAGTTACATATAAGGAAACATGGTGACCAACGGAGTTGTTTTACAGGGCTTGTATGTAAATAGATTCCAGAGCTGCTCCTGATCCCACAAACAACAAACAAGCCAACCCACCTTTTGTTTCGTGCAAATTGCGGCAGATCTTGGAATTGGTGTCGTGCAGTATGTTTATTTGTTCCATCAATGCCGCAAAGAATTTGTTTTGCTGGGCCAGATCGCATCCGCTGCCATTGTTGTTGCCATTTCGACACTCCGGAGTGTTCTGACCACTCAACTTGGAGTCGTTATCGGAGGGATTCAGCAGGCACGGATCGCTGAAACGAAACCTGTAATTCGAATGGGAACTATTAATGTACGTTTCAACTAAGGACTGAATGTATTGACTTACCCCCGGCTAAAGTTCGGATTGCTTCCGCTTCCGTCCAGCACATCTGTGGAGTTCGGTCCGTGCTCGGAGCCAGTGCCTCCTGCCCCGCCCATCATGTTGACCAGCGGTGGCAAGCTGGCAAACTCCTGGCCGCCATCACCGCCGTAGCCCAAAGCATAGCCATTAAGGTTCTGGGGCGGGAACAGCATCGGATATCGATGACTCAGGGAGTGCTGTGAGTGCTGTACGTTGGGTTGGCATTATACTCGAACAGTGGACTTGCTAATGGCATCTACTCACGCGTTGAATGCCCAAGCTGAAGGGCGTGACCGGTCCCATTCCATATGGCTGCGAACGCTTTGGAAGTTCCTGTTGCTTCTGCAGCTGGAATTGCTGTTTTAGCTGCTGCTGCTGCTGCTGTTGCTGCTGCTGCTGTTGACTCACAAACATTTGCTTATGAGCTGGTGCCGTGGGCGGAATAAAGTCCAAGAACTCAGATGAAGATGACAATTGGGCGTTGGTGGCATCCCGCAAGCAGTTCTCCAGCCAGGCATCGAGATGATCCTTGGAGTAGCTCAACTCGGTCCTGTTTGTCTTTTGACTCAAAGGAGCCGCAGTTGCCTCGTTTTTTGGGGCCAAAGACGAAGCTGCTGCTGCGGCACGCGACTTTAGTTTCTTGCGCTTGGTAGCATCCACAGCTGAAAGAGGAAATAGAGTATTGCGATTAGACATTGTCGACGTTTAAGACCCTTTAGCATAGGTAGACTTAAAGCCTCACAGCTTTCCATTCCCAGCATTGACGAACTGCAAACTGGCGTTGCAAAAACGCAAATGACTCACAGTCGAGCTCAACTACTCCACTTCGTTCAGCGCACCTCGAGCTGTCTCGGGTTTGCCAAGTTATTTCAGCCCACAAAAATGTCGCGGGAGACGCGGTATGAAAACGTAAAACGAAAAACGAGTTTCTCGGCTATCCAGTTGTCAGTTTTGTTTTGGTTTCGGCCAAGTAAATGTTTGGTTTTCTGAAATTTGAGCGAAATTGCTTTAGCTTGGGATAAACGGCTTTGTCACTCGATTGCGATTTCCAATTCGCGACCGGTAACGAGGGCAACAAAAGAAACATTTCACTTGTAGTCACTCTGCCACTGCATTATCGTTTTCCATATTTACAAAGACGAACTCCACAAACCTATGTTTAAGGGTCGTTTTCCCAATGGACTGCGAAGGGAGTTTAAATTTAGCACTAGAGCACGAGGGAGATGGTTGCTCTTACAGAAGAAGTGACTTCCCTTCGACACTAAAAAGAAAACGAAGGCTTTGGGGTGCTAAAAATAGAGCATTATCGAATTATAAGCGGATGTCGGTCCAGTGGTGGTTAGTGAACATATGTACGTAAAACGTATGTAGATGGATTCTCTTGAAGCAATACTTAGGTCACTATGATCCTTAATATTAACTAAACTTTAACACCCGTTTGTAATCCGTAGTCCAATATTTCCCGAGATTCAAGGGGACATGGTTACAAGTTTTTTCGACAATTTTTTTTTAAATCAAAGATGTGGTTCACACTTATTAACTCAAATCTTATAAAAACAACAAGAAATATCGCTATATATACCCGTCACTCAGCTAACAAACTTCAAACTAAATATTCTTCCACCAAACATATTGGGGTTTAGGTGACGCCGTCTGTCAAACTGAATTACTAACACTTAAAGCTAGGACCACGCTCCTCTAATGGTTATTTCGCTCTGTCTCTCTACATCAGCGATGCCGGCAAAGGATTTAATAACTCAATAACTTTTAAAACATTAGCTCGATCTTTAACATTTTTGAGTCTACTGATAGATATAACAGTAACACACAAAAGAAGTCGGATAGTTAAGGTCTACCATGTCTCATGGCCTCGTTTTGAAATAAACCTGCACTGCGTAAGAATTCCTAGAGTCTGCATGTCAAATCTCAGATCTCTAGATTTTATAGCTTCCGAGTTCTCTACGTTCATACTGACGTTCATGGATAGATCAACCCGCCTATTGCTCCCGATCTAGAATATATTTGATCTAAAGGGTCTGAAACGCTTTATTCTAACAGTTTCAAATTGTTAAAGGAATTCAAGATACACTTTTACTTTACCAGAAACGGGTACGATGTCATCTTTAAATGAGAATTGGTCTGCATGCAGACAGATAAAACTTTTAAATTTGCTGTTTTCTTTTTCAAATACGGAGGATCAATAGATATCAGTCCAAAAATTATTATAAACGGTAACAATAGCTTTTTTTTTATTACCATAATGTAATGTAATGATTCAATGATAGAACCAAACTTGTGTGTCACAACTCATGCAAACTAAACAACACTACCAATGCTTATTTTCAACAATCATTAGATCATTTAAGTGCCTCTTACTTATATAAACCGAAATTGTAGTACATTGTTTCCAATTTAATTCTCTTTCACGTATCTTATTTCTATGTTAGATTTATACAAAGGCTTCGTAACAAAGAAAATTCAATTAAATCGCTCACTGACCAGGAACTTAGTCAATTTGTTCAGATAAAGTCTCTGGTTTGTCATAGGGATTAAATAGAGATCACCCTGAAAAAAACTGATTCGGACTTCTGATGCAAAATATCCTTACATGTAGAGCTATTTTCTTGAGCTGCGAGTATTCCAGTGGATTAAAATGGTTCGTGTCTTATCGGTATCAGCAATTTTGTGTTAAAGGTATGTCTGCTATAAATTTAGTAACTCGCAAGCGATTATTTATAACAAAAGCTTTGGTACTAAGCCTAAAACTCACCAGAAAATCAAAGAGATAACAATTTGTATAATAAATTTCGACCTTGAAAATGTTGTCTGGCTATTGCGTTAGTAACAATTAAAATTTGAAATATAAAATACAATTTTGGTTAAAATCCTTGCCACACGAGCTTAGAGAAAACATAAGCTAGGTTCGTTTAATGCTTAAATATTTTCGAATACTTGGTGTGTGTGATAAAAAATGTCTTTAGTGGCCTGACATCGCGTGACTTAGACTCACGTGGCAGTAAGAATTAGCAGCGTTTAGGCCTTTTACTTACTAAAACATAACATAAATAAACTTCGCTCACCTCTCTGTGTGCTGTTTGGACCCATGCCGATGGTGGCATTTTTCTGGACACTGTTTCCGCTCTGGATGCCTGGCGTTAGGCAAGAGCTATTGCCAGCAGGCAAAGGGGACACGACTGCGGTGGAATCCAATCCTCCACCGTTTGTGTTCATCTCCATCTGACTTGTGGTAGTCATTTCTTCAGGTAAAACGCTCTTGTCGCTTCTGTAATAGGAAACAAAACAAAGAACTTATTATTTAACGTGGCTTTTCCGCTCTTACGGTGCGGCAGTCAACCGTAAAAACACAGAAAAACTCCCGGGGAAGACTTGATGGTTTGCACCTTGTGCAGTTAGGGGAGTGAGTACAGAATGAATGAGGGACGGTCGGGGAAAAAGCAAGAAAAGACATAAAGTTACGTATGCAAAGCCGGAAAACACCTGTCCGTTTTCTGCCGGCATCTGCACGAGCACCTTCATAAGCTTTGTGTTAGTTGCAGGCAATATACATATATGCATGTACATACATTAGTGCAGAAACTGCAAAGCATTTTATTGACGAAAGGTAAACAAGTAGAATCCTATTGTATGGAAACGCACTTATACTAAACAAACTCATATTTCTGCATTCTTAAACAAAGCAAAAACTTTCCTATGTAAGAACATTAATTTGACCTACATTTGCTTATAGCTTAGAATTGAGATTGCCAGTATTTTTGCAATCCAAGGCTACACAAACTTGCAAGATGTCCTTTAAGAGATATATTATATTTAATTAGCAATATAACCTAAACCTACACATACATGCACTTGCTAGATATTCTTAAAGAGATTTTTCATTGGGTCTTGATATAATTGTTTACTGATTAAGTAAATTAATAAACATTTTAATTGTATTTTGATTTAACGTACAAACAAGTACAAATATGCTCAATTTGAGTTTATAATAAATAACATGTGCGCAATACTAATACGTTAAACAGTTACCATGACTTTAAAAGAAAAACAATAGACAACTATGGTTATTAACGATTTAACAGCCGAATGGTTGTCTTAAAGTTCAATTGTGATTGGTCAGGTGTTCAATATTAAACGATAAAGAACCACAGGACTTCCCACGCTCGAGTAACCGACACTTTTGTAAGACATACATACATATGTACTTATGTACGAAATGGTTTTTGTTATGCATATATTGTATGAACAAGAATAAATAAAATCTGTACAAATATTATTTAGTTTTACAATTGTAAAAAAAAGTTCAACATTTGTCAATTTTAATAAACAATTAATTCTTGGAAAGCTTTTATGGGCAGTCCACTTATCCAGATAGACTACTTTTTGCTCTTCTCTGCTCTAATATTATGTTCTTTTAGGCCTAGAGGGTTGTATACCCAATATGCTCGATTTTCTTTTAATGGTTGTAAATCAATTACCATTTCCAAGTTAACAAGCCAAGCTTGAATTTACCATTTTGTGTTTGTCCAAGGCCGGTAATGAAAAAAATTGGACATGTATCTCTCAATTGATCTAATCTCTGCCAACTTAAATAGAGCTGCGTAGAGTTACCTTCCCAAGATCTGCTCTTCGGCGTCCGTGACTCCGCTCCCACTCGAACAGAAGGGGAACGGCATTGGCATTGACGCATCGGGCGCAGAGTTCCACTACAGCAATGTGCCCCTGAAAACCGACGAGCAAGGTGAACGTCGAGCAACTAAAAAAAAAAAACAGATGCGCATTGTTACTAGCCATTTTCGGGCCAAGTTCTTGGCTCTTGGCTATTGGCGGGTTGCCAGCAAAAGACACTTGCCGCAGATGGAGGCATATCAGTCGGAGGGAGTAATGGCAGCCACTCGAGCTATGTATGTGCAAAGTCCCTGGGCGGACTATGTGAGGAATCTATGCCGTCGAGTTCACCCAAAACGAAGCGGCAAACCGGTTTCACTCCAGCACTCGCGTCTCTCACTAGACACGGCTGTGTATTGACCTTTCCATTCAACAAATTTTAATGACACCAATAAAGCGAAGCAGCGTTGTCAGTGGAGATGGCGAAGGCGATGGCGATGGCGATGGCAGAGCGACCCCAACGATCAATGACTAAATGCACACGCCAACAAAGAGTCGGAGGAGCAAGTCGTTTGGTTTGTTGACCCGACCGGGGAGCACTGGGGGTAACGTTGGTCTCACCGACTTCAAACATCTACTTACATATGTTGAATACAATTTAATGGTTAATCAATTCAAAAGAAAAGAAGCTAATTTTGGAGACTTTCAACAAGAGTATACGGAACCGAATGCAGTTCGGCTCAAAACTATTTTAGATACAGTATTTTGCGAATGCAAATCGGGAGTATCAAAACAAAACGTTTGATTGCAGATTTCAGACAATATATCTCCCAGAGTTTAAACGTAATTCCTCATGAGATAGTCCTGTGATTGAAATATCGATGAGATAGAGACCAAAATAGATAAATTTTTGCGAATTCCGGGGGAGTGAGACATGCGGGTTCAAAACCGCACAGTAACACAACCCGCCATCCGCCATCCAACAGCAGTTTGTAGTCGCAGCGACTAGTTTTCAACTTTCGTCTAGGGCCCTGGTGTGGGAAAGACGCCTATCGAGTTTCCCAATCCAATCCAATCCCAGCCCCCCGTATTCCATTGTGTCTGCTGTGAAATGAAAAGCGAAATGGCTCGAGATGACGTCGTTGCATGGCTTTGTCTCTGCCTGGAGACAATTTTTGTTGTGACTGGGAGTCAGTTCCCTTAAGGTTTAAGATCACATTTTAAGGTACCTATGTATATATGTGCACTCCGAGATTACCGCTTTGAGTGGCCCACTAAGCACTGTTTACGACGATTTAACGCTAATTATATTATCAGAAGCATCTCAATTTGGCACACACGGCACTCACACTTGCACAGTGGCATTGGCCATCTGAAATTCACTTGCGTCACGCTCGGGGATTGAATTGTATTGGCTTTTCACGGAGCGCGGGGGTGTGGTCACGGTTTAGCATTCGCGTATTTGGACAGGGGACATTTGCAGTTTGAACAGCAACCGATAATTAACCGCAAACGGGACAAACTCTTCGAGCATTAAAACTAGAGGTGGAAATCAACTACTTCTGGCCCACCGAGTCGATATATTTCGATTGTTAAGACTATCGATATGCTGTGTTTAAGCCTCTTCACACTGACATGCAACATTGCCTTTTTCTTCCAAAAATAGCCTATTCACACAGGCGTTGTTTTGGCAAGAGCAACCAAATTCCGCATTAGAGTTTTAATCTTCCATAAGAAGAAAAGTCGCAACAACTTTCTATTGCTATAAATTAGCAGTAAAAGAGAGATAATTTTATTGTTTTTTTTTTTAATTTTTCTGATATTTTCTAGGCACCTCTTAAGATAAACGAAAACGGAGGCGAATTGTACATCAAGAACGCATGAGGCTTGTGGCGCTGCGAGTAATAACCTGATACCCCTTACCTGCTAGCACTAACGAAACTCTTTAAATTTGAATATTAAATGATTAATCATCACATAAAAAAAAAATTGTACCTTCTCAATTTTCAATAATTCAGAAAATTATTGATAAAGTTATTTAAATAGTTGCATGTAAATATTAATTCCTTTCAATTTTCTTGTAAATTTACAAAACTTTATAAATAAAATTTAAATTGTTGAAAAAAATCTAAAAACAACCTAAACAAGTGATACAAACAATCAAATTTAAAGCTCTCCCTTACATAAAATAATCATAAAGAAACTGTTTTAAATTTTAAGAACGTAGTTTTAATTTAATTAATTTATAGAACTGATTTAATTTTAAGCATTAACAAGTTGGTATATAGCATTTGATGTCCAATTGGTGACAAGGCGAGTGTTCACGATTCACGAATGGCTCCTCGATTCCGTGTTCCCAGGATATAATGAGCAACAGTTGTTACTGCGATGCAACTGTCAAAGCGGAGCTTTCGAGAACGCTTTGGGTACACACTGTGGGGTAGAGGGATTAAGCTCCCAAGTGCTTGCTTTGAGGCAATTTTTCCATCGAGTGTAGGGGCAGCTCATCTGAACGCAGTCGAAATAAATCCCGGGTCGTAGCCCGTTTATTTTTTTATTTTCTAAGCGCCCGCTGCCTGAACCAAAACGCTCGGTAATTGGCTGCCCGACTTTGCGAAACCGAAAGTGACTATCCGGAGAATTAGTGTTTTGTTTAAATTTGTTAAAAAAAAATTCAACGAATCCCAAAAATTGTTTGCTGCTAAACGTGAAAGTGAACAAAAAAACGGATTTCGAAATCCACAGCCTTCCAAACGACTCATTTGCTGCGATCCGCAGCCGTTGTCCTGCGAAAAATCGATTCCAGTTATCCTGTGCCACTGAGCTGTCACACTCCAGAGCTTTCACTTTCACTTTCACACTGCTGCAGTGAAAACAAACTCGGGCGACTTGGTCGTACGATGAGTTGTGAGTAAAGGACGTTGCCCTCGCCAGGATTCCCGCATGAGCCAAGATGATTGTCACGTCCGCTTCTGGCCTGGATAGCACTCCGACGTTGGGTAGGTGCCCAAGAAGTACTCCAAAACACCCCATTCCCACCCGACCCAACGCGACCCTACCAAATCAATCTGGCTGTTTTTTTTTCTTTTTTTCTTAGGGACTGTCGAAGTGACCACGCTCCTGGGCGCCTTCTTCGGCGTCCTCGTTCTGCTGCTCCTGCTGTTCCTGTACATCAGTCGGAAGTGCTGTTTCCACTACCGCCATGCCATCAACTGCTGCGACGAGCGCCACCTGGCGGCCAAGTGTGTGCAGAAGATCAGTGAGTATCTGGGAGCTGGGCGGTATTGAACCAGTTGTGAGCTTACGCTTACCCTATTCTTGCAGCACGCAAGCGACGCTACGAGAACACCAGCTCCGACTCGGAGGAGGACATCCTGCGTCGCCTGCGCTGGCACCAGCAGCACCAGCTGGGCGAGAAGCCCGGCGGTTACGGGCTGGGGATCAGCCAGGCGAACCCGCTGACGGCGCACAGCTTCAACTACCACCAGCCTGGCGCTGCTGACTTGCAGCGGGTGACAGTGACGCGTGACCCCCTGGCCATCGCCGAGCGGGGCAAGGTCGGCATCCCGTCGTCGCACAGTGAGTGCAGCTCAAACGACTCCATGGAGGCCTCCGTGGACAGTCACACCGGCATCCTGACGGGCCTGAGCAAAGGTGAGTTCTCCGCGGTCAGGGGCAACTCTAATTGACAGGTGTCGAGTTGAATATTCACATGTCTTGACAGCCACAGCCCCTCACCTGGCGACATCCATCCGTAATCCGTGTGCGGAACACCGGGCCAAGACGCAGGCTCTGAGGTACCAGCACCGGGTCGAGGTGGCTGTTCCGCCCAAGGCGGAGAAGGCGGAGAAGGAGCGGGACAACGTGGTGGTGGTGCCGATGGCCAGTACCTTCAACATCCACAACAACAACAACAACAACAACTCAAGTGCTACCAGCAACAACAACAACAATACCAGCAGCAACAACAACAACGATGACGTAAGTGGTGTTGAATTGGAGTGTGCCCCAAACATTCCTTCCTCGGTGCCCCAGAAATCCCCTTTAGAGCTTTAGAAGATTGACAACTCCAAGCTACAGGGCTCTTTACACATTCTGATTTCATAATTAAATCTCTTTAATTTAATATCAGGTCCTATCGCCCAACAGCTAGTTATATATTGGGTAGAATCTAACAAAAAAAGGAAACAAACTTAGGCAAGCCGATGTTTACATAAATACTATGGCAGTTAAAACAAAAAATGTTTCAAACAATTACATTGCGTTATATGCTTAAAAGCAATTTCCGCTGCAATTTTTAAAGCTTCCTGTGGCATTTGTATGAAATAGTTGTCCGATTATAATAAACTTATTACCGTTATTGTGAAAAAGTAAACAATTACTAATCTCGAAGTGCATTCGTTTTAACTGAAAACCGCAAAGTGAAAATATTATTTTATTACTTCAGAATAAAGACTTTTGGGAAATTTCAAGAAAAACTGCGATATACTATTGATTCTGATCAAGAATATATGTACATATATATCTTTATACTATAGGATCGAAAATACCTGCTTTGCCGCCTTACCAACTTTTGACTAAAATTTTAATGTCCTGTGGAAGGGTATACAGCAGCAACCCAGGCATAATATTAAATAAGAAAATATCATTATAATTTTTCATTTGACTATTTCGGAATTGATTTTAACATCTCACAATGTATAATTTAATACTTAATTTAAATATTAAATATAAAATGTTGATTTTGATAGTCCGATATTTATTTTTTATTTTTATTTATTTCAATCTGTCTTTTAACAATGAGTAAATATTATGATTAATACTTAAATAACAGGAATATCAGTTTTCCAGTGAGCCCTGCTATTATATATATATCTATTTCAGTTTATTGAGTTTATCTATAAGATAGATCGAGTATATGGAGTCTTTTTTTCAGTCTTAGCGTTAAACTGTTGCCTACTAGGCTTAATGCTAAATTATTTTCGTGATTGCAACCCGGACATTTTTATGAAAAAATATTGGATTTTAAAATTTTGATTTAAAAAAAATAAGAAAAAACAAATATTAAGTTTATTAAGTTTAACTTAGTTTACGACTCAGACTCTGGACTTACGAACAACATAACTTTTTGCTTGTAGGACTCGAAAGTGGGTATTTTTTTAAGTCGAGCACAGTTGACCACAAATTAATAAAACTTCGAAATGAGTTTACTACTATTTGTGATTTCATAGTGATTTACATAGGTAGTTCGTCTCAACTTTGCGCTAGAAAATTTCAAGCTTTGAATAATTACAAGTATTCACTTTCGATTTGGGAGTAAATTGCTTTTATCCAGTCACAAAAGTCACTAGAGATTTAGTGGATCACTGACCAAAGTTCACTGGCTAATGCTCATAACTTTGCCTTCCACTTCCACAGGAGCCGCTGTTCGACACCAGTGACCTGCGATCGATCAAGTCGGATGACCTGCTGGTGGGCCTGGATGCCAAGGGGGCGCCCGTCCAGCGTGGACCCATCGAGCTGGAGCTGTCGCTGCTGTACGACGCCCCCATGCGGAAGATGACGGTGCATGTGATGCAGGCGAGGAGTTTGCCGCCATTGGCCAGCGGACAGCCCACCCACACGCAGGTGCGGATGCTGATGCTGCCCAGCAAGAAGCAGAAACTGAAGACCAGGATCCGCAGCGGCGAGAATCCGCAGTACATGGAGAGCTTCCTGCTGCATCGCGTCAATCCGGAGGAGGTGAACAACATGGGACTGCGGGTGCGACTCTACGGCTGCGAGCGGCTGCGCAAGGAGCGCCTGATCGGGGAGGCCTACGTGAGTTTCGCCACCGTGGACCTGGAGCTGGAGACGAACCTCTGGCTGCCGCTGGAGCCGCGCAACACCTCCTCGATGCTGGGCTCCACCAGCGACCTGCTGAGTCTGGCGCGCTCGGACAGCGCCGGTTCCACCTCGTCCATGCAGCACGGTGGCGTCTCCGAGTTGCTGCTGGGCCTGAGCTACAACGGGGTCACCGGACGCCTGAGCGTGGAGATCATCAAGGGCAGCCAGTTTCGCAGCCTGTCGCTGAACAAGGCGCCCGACACGTACGTTAAGCTTGTGATGGTCAGCAGCATTGGGCAGGAGATATCCCGGGCCAAGACCTCGATCCGACGGGGACAGCCCAATCCGCTGTTCAAGGAGACGTTCGCCTTCCAGGTGGCCCTGTTCCAGCTGAATGACGTCACGCTGATGGTGTCCGTGTACGCGAAGAGGCACATGAAGAAGAACGAGATGGTCGGCTGGTTCAGCATGGGCCTCAACTCGTCCGGATCGGAGGAGGTGGCCCACTGGGCGGACGTCTGCGAGATGCCCAAGGGCGAGATGCTGGCTCGCTGGCACGTCCTGGTGGACTCCTGATTCGAGCAACTGGGCCAGTCCTCGGGACGCAGCGGTAGAGCCCTCCGGAAGCTGGGCCTGGCTGCGTTCGCCTCGAAGGACCGGTCCTCGAAGGAGAAGGCCGCCTCCAAGGAGTCGTCGCTGGAGGACGACGGAGCCGGAGCTCAGTTCCCTGCAGACAATGCGGTTGCAGTCGACATTGAGCCGGGCCTGGAGCTCGACTTTGTCTGAAGTGCACACACACACACACACAGAGGTCGGTGCTTGGTGTTTGTGATTTGTTTTTTTAACGCGGCACCATACTCGTGCGACATACTATATGTACGTCATATACATATGTATGTCGTGGAGTGTTTAGCCCGGGATGGGTTCGACCGAACGGTACGGACCATCCAACCAACCAATCTAGCCCAGACTGGGCGGTAAAATATTTGTAATTTGGAATCAATTTGGCACACACTCAACCATTCATGAAGTGTGAGAAACATGAGAAGCTAAAAAGGAATAACCTAGAATATTGAAATTTTATACGCAATGGCACGCAAAGTGCATACCAGTACTTAAATTACTACTCAAAATTTGAATTTTATGATTGTTTGTGATAAAGAATACTATATGATATGATATGATATGATATGATATGATATGATATGATATGAATAGCCGGAATGGGCGGACATATACTGAAGATGTTGTGTGTACTAAAACACTAACTTACGGACGAGTGACGAATTTTTGTAATTAAACCTTTCTGCATCTTATATTTAAATATTAAGCCCGGCATAGGCTGCCCAAAGTCTGTCAAGACTAGCACTTTTTTATTACCAAAATATGAAAACCGAAATTAAATAGGAACATTTGTAGTCGCGATACGTACATTCAAGCCTACATTTGCATACATACAACATCATACACACACGTTGACACAACTAATACTCTTGGTATTTTGATCGAGAGTCATGCGCATGTTCCAGTTTTGATATTCAGAGAAAGATAAAAGGAAGCATCGGTACCTTAGGATTCAAACGCACAAAGACATCTTCAACACTGGAAGATAAATAAGTTGGCAAACCAAAGTTGATAAATTATAGGAATATCGGCGACTGCGACTATATGCAGTCGAGCAGGGGGTTTGTAGTAGAGCTTTATTTCGATTTGGGCATCGGACAAAGACTAAGGAACTAAGGGTCCTCAGATCGTGGAATACCCGACGACTTGGTCGGTGTGTTGTTGAGATTGTTTAGAGCTCTCTGGATTGAGAATATTTTGTTTCTGCATGGAACTGCATAAATGACATAAGTTTAACTTATAAAATGAGAATTGAAAGCTTTAATAAATATCTAAACTAACTTATTTTAAAACTCAAGTTAAATCGAAACACAAAAAAAAACAAGAACTATTAAACTATTGCCATGCGCATGCGAGAAACTCAATGTTAATTTGTATGTACAACCATATGAATGTTTTTTGCAATGCATTAGTATTTATATCTTTTGAAAATCTATATGTTTTGAGTGTCGAATATTTTATAATCGCAATTCAAGGGAATGTGCGTTGTGTCGTTGTTGCAACAACTGCGATCTATAAACTAAATCTACGACTTCATTTTCGGAAGGCAAGCGAGGCTAAGCGGCCAAGTGACTAATCAACTAATCGAAATCGTTAATGTCAGTATTACACATCTCCTAACTTAAACAGTACAACGGTTAGTACGGTTAGCCTCGCCACAAACAAAAGTGCGGAATTATCGTCAAGTGTTTCAGGCTCTGAGTAGAATCTCCCTCCATAAATTGCAAGCGAATAAAGTGATTATTTTCTCTGAAACAGATAACATATTACATATTTCTACTCTTCAATTTAAACAATTCAATTGTCATTGTTGATTATCAAAGAATAATTTTAATATTACTTAATTGCCATTTAAAATAAAACGATATTATATAAAAAACCAGTAATATACATCCTTAGTTATCCTTAATCTATCGGCTAAACCTACCGAACGTTTAGCGTTTACTTTCTGCGCTTTTTCCTCAATTTGCGTCCGCTTCCCGAGAAGTTGTCCTCGTCGTCACTATCCACAGCCGACTCCTGGTTCTCCTTCGCTGTGCTGCTCGCACTGCCGACTTGCTGGGCATCCCATTCCTTGCGCAGCTCACTGAGCATTCCGGGAGTGAGGAGGCCTTGCGCCAGCAACCGTTCGGTGAGACGTCCCCGCGTCGAGCTGGGAAGGCGAGGCTCCTTGACGTGGGTCACTCGGCGCATGGCGTAGCTCGAAATCTCTCCGTCCTGACTGGCCTCGGTGTTCTTCAGCAAGCGAGTGATTTGGAAGACGCCCTGCTGTATGATCTCGTCCAGTTCCTTCTGGGCCTCACGCACGTTTGCCGCCTCGGGGAAGAGGTCCATGAACCGGTAGCTGTAAGTGTAAGTAAAACGTTATTTGGTTACCTCCGGCGGACTTTTGTGTGACTTGCCTGAGCCAGAGATACAGGTCCATTACGTCAAAGACGGCCTCCAGATGGACCAAGTCCAAGATGGTCTTCGGCAGCTTAAACGGCCAGCCGCAGTTATTTTTTATGAACTCAAAGGTAATGGGCTCGTTGCGGCTGTACTGTCTGGCCACCTTCAAGAACATGGAGCAAACAAAGGGCATTTTGCGATTGATGGGGGCGCAACAGAAAACGTAGCGGGCTCGCAGAGGCAGTGGGACATGTTGTATCATCTCGGCCAGGAATTTGAAGTCCTCAATGTTGCACATAAAGTACAGGGAATCGTCGACTGTGCACAGGTTCACGAATATGTCCATTAGGTTGCTCAACGACGAGCTGGGCAGGTGGTAGGCGTAGAGCTCAATTTGGTCGGCCGTGGGGTGCAGTCCCGCCTGCTTCAACGGCTCCGGCGTCTGGGCCAATATACGCTGCAGGGTCTGCAAGTCCTCGGACTTGAAGGCAGTCACAAAGCCGTGCTCCCACTGAGTGCGAAAACGGCCCGCTCTGCCGGCTATCTGAAGGGCCGACGAAACCGATATTGTGTCGATCTCGCGCTCTCCTTTCTCGTTCATCGTCGGCTTGATCAGGGAATAGAAAATGATTCGCCGAATGCTCCTGAAAGCGAGAATCGGGGGTATTTCACATCTAATCATCCAAACAACAATTCGGAAATGTTTCACTTACAGATTCAAGCCCATGCCGATGGCGTCCGTCGCCACCATTACCTTGCAGCTATTGGCGGGATCATTGAACTTGGCGGCTTGGGCGAGCTTGGTACCAGGAGGCAGGCCTCCATATATTACGGCTACCTCCTTTCCTCTAAACAGAACAAAACAAATGTGTTGATCAGCGATCATATGCGTCCATACGTTACTGCAGTGTGATACTGACCGTGCCTCGATTTCCCGCGAAACCGTATATATATCATGTTTGCTGAAGCAGACGATGCAATCGCCGGGCACCACATTGTCCAATGAGCCCAGGGCAGTGCTTTCGACAGTTAGCTCCGTCAGACGATCGTAGTGCCGCACCTCAACCGTTTCGCCGGTGGTCTCGCATATCTTCTGCAAGAGATCCAGCGAACCAGGCTCACCACAAACGTGCACCTCATCGGCAATCAGGCCCAGGAAGGCCCGCGTCCAGGCCCAACCGCGCTGGGGGTCGCGGATCTGCTGAATTTCATCGATCACAGCCACCTCATCTGGAACGGGAAAGGCATCACAGGTTACAACTGGACGGCGGCCAGGAAGCTACTCGCTTACATGGAGTGTTGACCGACGTCATTTCCACAGTGCACGCGACATGGTTGGCCGGCGAGCTTTCGCTGATGCCAAATTTGCGCTCCTCGCCGGTCACCAAGTCGCAGGGAGTACCGCGCTCATTGGCCTTGTTGTACACCTCCGTGGCGAGGAGCTTCAGGGGGCCGCAGTATACGCCGGACTTGGCACTCAGGTACCTCTCCATCGCGTGGTAGGTCTTTCCGGAGTTCGTGGGCCCCGCGTGGAACACGATCTTCCTGGTGATGGCGCGGGCATTGGTGTACCAGTTGGCCGGCTGCCGCAGGTCGGAGATCTTCTTCAGGTCGTCCATGCAGTCCAGATGAGGAAACACGGTCTTTGCATGGCGCAGGAAGTAGGGAAAGATGTCGTCGATGTGGCCCGCTCCTTGCGTAATGTCGCTGAACGTTATGTGCAGGTCCACAGGAAGGTTCTCCGCCTCGATGCAGTATCGCCGGAACGAGCCGAAGGCCTGCTGCTGTAAGTAGGCTTGGAACGGATGCAAAGTAAGACGCGGGGGCGGGCCATACAAATCGGCGCTGACGTACCGTCCAGTCCGTTTTCGCTGCAAAGCGACTTGATTTCGCGGCGCTGCGTGAACTTGTTAAGGATCTTCAGCAGCTCGGCCTTCTCCAGCTTGCCCACCAGCTCGGAGCCCACGTCCTCGGAGTCGTTGGCGTTGGCCTGCACTTGCACCGGCTTAAACAGCGCCGACACATTCGTCTCCGGCCTTTTCCGCGAGAACTGAAGGGTCGACCGGTGCAGGCGACGGAAATCGGAAGCAACCGACAGGCTCGGACGCAGGCAGTGTGTGTGGGGCTGCCGCACAACGCCCAACAGGCGGATGCAGCGCCTGCAGTTCTGCATGGTTCTCCAGTTTGGGGAAAAACAAGCACGCTTTTAATTCAACAATTCGCGATAATTCAGTTCGCAACCCACGTTGTTGGCTCTGATATAACAGAGCGGGCAGTGCAGCTGATGCACAGCTGATTGCAAGGTCGTAGCCCGTGCTCTCTGTTTTCATTGACGTCATTAATTATGTTGTGGCGTTGCCAGATCGGGTGTCTTTTATTTGGTAATGACGGGAAATTTAGTGGTTGGATTTTGCTCCTAATTAAGTTCTACCATTGCTATATATTTTTATGAATATTTTTAGATAGTCTTTGTTTTATCCCTAACGTGGCAGTCAAACAAGTTTGAACACTTATCAAATTTCGGCTCGCTATAGTTATTAATCTATGCGCAATAATTGGTGCACTATTTAAATGCAATCGCATCAATACATATGTATTAGAGGCCATTAATGAAAATTCTACAACATATTTGAATTTCGACTGTATTTTTTCTGTTGAAAATTTTTTAATAACATTTTTGTTCTTTGTGATACCACTAACCATACAACATACAACATGTTGTACGTTGTTTGGTTTGTGGTGATACCCAGAAGTCTTCAAAATCTTAATTTCGAGAGATATTTATGTTTAGAGCGCACAGAATTTTTAGGAATATATTTTGTAAATTGGATTTGGCTATTCCAAAAAGACGCAGTGATTTCGATTTAAAATATTTATTTATTTTACGTCATCAGTTATATAAAACTTCAAATTTTAGAAAAAACAATGAACTTGTCGACCTACATAAACTTAAGAAAGTGCGCTCATCTCTAGAGCCTTTGCATATAGTGGCAACGCTATGCACTGTTTGTCAGAACCAAAATGACTCACTTGGACTATTAAACAAAATACAAGTTAAAGTAATATAAATTGTCAACAATTCTCGTTCCCGGCAGTGCAATGGGCTTATTCGGCAAAACCCCCAGCAAAGATCCCAAAGAGCAGGTAACTTCGCCAACGGGCACAAGGTGCTTGTGCTTCTCGAGAAATGATGTCATTGCAGTTGTTTTGATTTCACTTCGCATTGTTTTGCGCACTGTGTGTATTGTGTTCTGAGTGCTGTTCTGGTTTGTAAATTCCGTTTAGGTGCAAGAGTGGACGCACAAGATACGGAAGGAGGGCAACCAGTTGGATCGCCAGATTCGGAGTATCCAGCGGGAGGAGGAGAAGGTGAAACGCTCCCTCAAGCAGGCGGCGCAAAAAAACGACCGCGACACCTGCGTCATTCTCGCCAAGGAGATCGTGAACGCACGGAAGGCCATCAACCGCATATACACGTCGAAGGCGCACCTCAACTCCATCCAGATGCAGATGAAGAACCAGCTTTGTAAGTGGGCTCCCGATCCCCGTTCCTCGCTCCTCAGACCCAGCTAACGATTTGTCCTCCTCTTAGCCACCTTGCGGGTAGCAGGATCGCTGCAGAAGTCCACCGAGGTCATGCAGGCCATGCAGAGTCTGGTGCGCTATCCAGAACTGGCGGGCATCATGCGGGACATGTCCAAGGAAATGATGAAGGCCGGCATAATCGAGGAGATGCTGGACGAGACCATGGACTCGCTGGAGGAGTCCGAAGAGCTGGAGGAGGAGGCGGGCAAGGAGGTGGACAAGGTTTTGTGGGAGATCACAGATGGCAAGCTGGGCGAGGCTCCCTTGCCTCCAGAGGCTACTCCAGCGGACAAGGCGTCTGCGTCTGCGTCTGCAGCCCGCGTCGAGGTCCCAGTGCAGGAGGATGATGATGACGAGGGCGAGGAACTGCAGGAGATGCAGAGCCGCCTGGCCTCGCTGCGATCTTAGGGTGACTGCTACGGGGATTGCATTTAGGTTCGAAATTTGGATGAAAGTAAATTGCGACTGGCAGGCGTTTTTGAAAACCCTAAGCGGCAGGACACCCGTAAGCACGGCTTAATTATAGAAACCAAAATAATCTTCAGAAACTAATATTCAGTTTTTGTATTTTAAGTGTACAGTGCCCCCAGTTCAAGTTGTGTTGAGCTGCACGCGTTTTACCGTTTAATTTACACAAGCTAATTTTATTTATTGTATAATTTACCTTGTATTAAAAATCGATATTTGCTGTGGCATGACCCTTCTAACTGCATAGTTCGAATCTGTGAGCCAGGACTAGGGCCTAACGTTGTTCTCTATCCAGTCCAGATACGCCGCCACCCTTGTGTACACGCCCGGCCATCCCTTCAGGCCGCAGGGTGTGGGTCCGTAGGAGACCACGCCGGCAATATAGTAATTGGAGTTGCCGTCGGAGAAGTCCTCCAGGAGAAGGGGGCCACCGGAGTCGCCGCGACACGAGTCGACGCCCTCCGCTCCGCCAGCGCACAGCTGGTTGGCGGTAACGGTGCGTCGTTGGCTGGCGTACCGCTGGTTGCAGTCACTCGTCGGCACTGGATCCAGGTCGGCCTTCAGCTTGATGTTGGACGTGAAGTTCGTTTCGGTGCGACCCCAGCCGGAGACCACTACCTTGTGGCCCAGGAAGAGCGCGTCGCGATGGGACGCCAGGGTGGGCAGGCAGACTGGAGAGATGAATTCGGTGAACTGGATCTCGTTCTGTAGCCGCAGCAATGCGATGTCGTTCAACTGGTCGCGGGTGTTTCCCGGATACTGCGGATGTGGGATCCGTTCCACCACCGGGCAGTCCACGTAGGGGTCGTTGCACTCCCGCCTTCCGTTTCTGCTGGTGGTGCAATCCGGATTGGTGCTCGCGTCCCACTCGCCCAGACGCACTCCCGTCAGCTGCCAGTCGCTGGGAATGGCCGAGACGCAGTGAGCCGCCGTCAGTACGTACCGGTTGTTGATCAGCGAGCCGCCGCAGTGGTGGCCCTTCACGTTGCCCGCTGGTGGGTAGGAGAGAGTCAGAGAGAGAGTCAGTATTCGGCCAGTCAGGATGGGGACTACTTACGCTTCGTGTACTCAATCAGCGCCATCCAGGGGAACTCCCTTTTGCCCGTCTCCTTGCCGCCCACCACGCGGTCGCTGAAGTTCTCGCCGCAGTTGGGCGGCTGGGGCAGCAGGCCGGACCTTAAAGGAGGCTGCGTCGGTTGCGGTTGCTGTTTACGCCTGCGACTGTTTGCACAGCAAATCTGATTGAATGGCAAAACATATTTTTTTGACATCTCATATTTCTTTCAAAAATGTACTTTAAATTAGGTTTTTATTAATTACTAAATCAATAATTTGAGGTCTTATATTTTCTAAGATAGAGAAAAATACACATGTTAAGAAAAAAAACGAACGCTATAGTAGAACTCCACCTAATATCCTATTGTTTTTAGGCTCATTTTTATTATTTTGAAATTGGTTAGCTGAGTATCGGACTTATACCAGGTTTCTTCTTGTTCATGCTTGTTTAGTTTTTTTTGATCTCCGGTTCTACTAACATGGATTGTAATAAAAATATTACGTTATAAAGCTAAATGCCCATACAATGTACATACATAAGTTAAAGATCTCCTAGCCGAAACGCTTAAGACTTGGGCTTGACCTCGGGAATTCTAGTGATCCTCAGGCAGTCGACTAAAGCGATTCATCTTGTTTTAAATGTAACTTGTCCAGGGGTCCTAAAGTCACGCCGAATTATTCTCTGTGACTTCTAAGTGGTTATTGGAGGTAGAACAAATTATTTATTCTTTCAATCGTTTAGCCCTCAAAAGAATAACTTTATTTTTAAAGCTTTAATTAAAAGAAAAAATTAACACATAAATTTACCTTTCTCGGATCAATAAATTGAAATATACATACTCAACATACATACTCATAGACAACGAATAAAGAACGAAAAATCAACAAAATCAACATAAATGTAAATGTAATATATGGTAGCTATAGGATATAGTCAACCAATTTTGATCAAATATCGAGGGATAGGTTCTAAAAACTACAAAATCATCGTTTACCTTTAAATCAGGAATTTATACTCAAATTAAAAAAAACGCAAAATTAAAAATTTTACATATAGACGACCGATTTGTGCCATTATTAAACTTGATCTGCGTACACAGAAAGCTTTTAAACGGAGCTTGCAAACGGTATATAAACATACGGACTTTTGAGCAATTTTAGAATACCCTCTGCAAGAATATGAAAATATTTATATACCCTTTCAGAGAGTATTATAACTCCAGTCAGAATTTTGCAACGCAGAATTTCTCCAAAAACTAGTCTCTCAGTTTTAAAGATATCTGCATGAAACTACCGCAACTTTGTCTTTTTTTTGCAGGTAGTATACATATGTATATGTAAGTCGGAACGAGCCGGATCGGAAATATCTCCCATAGGACAATCGGAAAATTAAATAAAAAATTATAACTTTTTTTAACTATGACTTTATCTTATATCAAAATATTAAGAAAAAATAAATTTAACTTCTTCGGAAAACGACATCATATAGCTGCCATAACGATCGAATAATTGAGCTGTAAATCATCAAAGCTTATATGTCTTTAGACATATACGCAAATAAATCAAAACTTAAATGTGTGCAATAATATTTAATTTTTTCAATAGCTGCAAGGGTGTGTGAAGACTTGCTGCCTTTCTAATTTATAATTAAATGAGATGGGTATTTATGATTTAGTTGCTGATCAAATTTTAAAATTGTTTTGTGGGATCCTAAGCGTTTCTTCCCTGGGTACACAATCTGCTTTTATATGGAAACTGTGAGGAAATGGTACTTACCAGCACCTGACCATTGCGGTAGCCACACTGACCCAGCTGCAGAAATCGGCGATCCTCGGGCGGAACAACTCCGCGTTGGACCAGTTCGAAGATATATCCACATTCCCTGAGGTTGATGCAAGTGCCGCTCTGCTCATCGGGCGTTGTGCAATACCCAAAGATTTCTGGGGAGCAAAGATAAAATCCGGATCAGTGACATGGCATGTACAACTGCGGGAAAGGGAATGGATGTGGGAATGGATGTGGGAATGGATGTGGGAATGGTAAGGGGAACGGTAAGGGGAATTCTCCCCACTGCCATCCATTCGATTCGATTCGACGGGGTGAAGTTCAGCGCTGATAGGCGATTGCTTTGTGCTCCAAATCGATGTAAACAATCCCCGACTGCGTCTTAAGCGCTGGCTTCTAGCTACTAGCTTCTAGC